TTTCTCCTTAATAAATTAAATTCTTGTTGAATTAAAACTGAATTCTTTAAGCTGAAATTATGATCATACTTACATACAATAAGAATGCATAGAGTGTTTTGCTTTGTGAAAGATCACTTATGTTCATATTTTTTGTTTAAATTCCTTGCTATCTCACATATGTATTTCTTGGGACATTTTTTGCAATCTATTTTGTAAATTTATACGTCGGATATGTTATTTTCTGTTAATTAAATCTCGTTTTTTTTTGTTTTTTAAATAGTTGTGACAAATTTCATATTAAAGTTTAGATAAATTCTTGTCATTATTAAGTTGATATGTAATATTAGGAGTCTAGTTACATCAAGGTCAATTGTGTTATTTTCTTTTGCAGATTATGTGAGCTTTTATTTTCCCATTATATATTAAAGAATTATGATATTGGTAAAACTTAAAACTATTTTCAATGTATATTCATTCATGTAAATATTGGGGACTGCAAATTCTAGAAGTTTATGTGATCATTTCTGTTAGTGAAGTTTTGATAGACATTATTTATCAGCATGGCTACATATATTTATCTATAAACCTGTGTGATGTAATAAGTAGTATTTATGTTATTCATTACTTCATATTTCTGTCTTATGTCATGATAAACTTGGGAGAATCAAAGATGAATTTTATTAGCATGATAAAAAGAAAATATTACTATTTATTTATTTAAGTCTTTATTTTGCCAGCATTATCAATTCAAGTTAAGAAATTAATTTAGCTTTCTTTTAAAAACTTATTTTATTGCACATAAAGAATGTAATTTAGATGGATTATACAGTTGATAAAAAAAGCACAAACACGATTATCATGATAGTAGGTATCCCAGCACTCAGCTTATAGCCGATGAAATTCTTAACACTAAAAAAGGCATATATTCAACTCGCCGTGTTATTTCATTCAATATCTCCATAAAAACATAAATGTATGCCAAATAAAAGCTTATTTCATGAACTTTGTTTCTATCTTATTTATTTTTATATGTAGTACAGTGTGCGAGGAACTTTACAGTTTGAAAATAGAGACATTTTGCTGATTTCACAAAATTTTTCCATTTTTTTCACTGATGGCAGTTCACACTTCCTCAAATTTTGTAACATGCGCACTCCACAGGGTTTAGTACAATTTTGGTAACACATTAGTTCGAAAGTTAACATTCTAAGCTTCATTTTCATATATTTTATATTTTTTAATTTTAATAAGAAGTTTGTAAAAAATTCAAATGAAAGGTTTGATTGTAAAATTCAAATGCTTCTTGTGAAAATAAAATCACATAAAATATATCATTAAAACGCTCATTTAATAATCTATGAAACTAAATCAAAAGCAAATATGAAACGATAGTTCCATTTTGCACGTGTGCGATTATGTGTAACCATGTGCAACTCGCTCGGCCATCATTTCAACTCCACGTGACAGTCAATACACAGCGTCAACACCTACACCCAAGAATTGACCAGCATGTTTTCTACGGACAAAATTTTCAAGGAAATTGGTAAGAATTTGTTTTAAATATTAATTTTCTATGATATGTAAAATGTAAATGGGATTTAAAAACCGTTTTAGTCATAAAAAACATGAAACAAAAATCGATTTGTTTACTTTACGCTCAGATTCAAATCTAAAAAAAAAAAAAAAAAAAAAAAAAATGTAGGACTTATTGATTGAAAAATATTCATATTCAAAGAATGAGATAAAAACATTCTATTCTAAAAAAAAAAAAAATTCTAGAATATCTTTTATGTTTTTGCAGTATTCACAAATGATTATCAGCATTTCAGTTACCAAGTAACATTTTTGTTTAAAGTTAACTCTTCAAACAATTTTCTTACTTTTTAAATTATCTAATGAATGGATTTTAGTTACGATTTATTGCTATCTAGATACAAATTTATGATTTAATATTCATTTTCTTAATTTATTATTATTTCTTAGTAATATTTATTTCATACGGATTATGATTGTTTATTTTATTCTAAAATATTTTAATGTGTCAGTTTTAAGGACCACTGTTGAGAAAATATTTTAGTGATTCCTTATTTGTTACTCAGGTGTATGGATGACTCTAAATTTATATTTATCCCTGACTGTATTTAGTGCAATTTTTTTATGAACTGCAAATAAACTCAAATTCAGTAAGAAAATGTACACAATAATTTGTAGATGACTACTAAGTAGTATTTCGACAAAATGGGATAGGATTATAAATTCATTTTTTTTCTTTTTGAAGATGACGATGTACAGAATCAGTTACAACGTTGTTTTATGACAAAAGGACGTGGAAGGAAGACGTCTTTGCCTAAAGTGGAATGTTCCAAGAAGGTACTGTTTCAAATATATTCATTGAAAGAGAAGTATCAGGAAACCTGGGATTCTGCTATTACTTGGCTACATAAATTGTCCCCAATCTTTCCTAAGAACAGATGGGTACACCTTATTGAGAAAGTTGTAGCAGAAGTTAAGAGTTGTCCAAAAGTGGATCGTCCTGCATTGTACCATGAGGTAACAAATTTGGGATTCATAGGTGAAAGATGTGAAAGTGTTGGATTGACTCTCAGTGTTTTGTCAGATCCAATGCTAGGTCATAAGCTTTTATGTGCAGAAGTAACAAATGGGCTCATACATGAACTATATAAACTGGATACACCAACAAAGATATACTAGTCAGACTAGAAGAACTTGGGTAGTGCCTGAATTAGATTATTTGGAGGGATTGTATGAAGATTATGCCAAGATTTACTTTTGACTACTCAGTGAAGAGGTATCCCAACACCCAGCCCACCATTACTGAAAATTTCCAAATAAACTTTATTTGATTAATTTTATGTCTGTGTTGTTTATTTTTATGTGCATAATGTGAGAGGAACATTACAGTTTTAAAAATTGAGACAATTTGGTGATATCATACCGCTTACGTAGTGATCGGAACTAACATGTGTCAGAACTTCAACCTTTTGATCAAATTGTGACAGATAAAATATTTTTATTTTAATGATTTCAGTTACAAATTTAATGGTTGAATACCACTTCATGATAAGGTGAGTTTTCTGTTGTTTTCTTATGTTCATTAGTGAATATAGGTTGGCATGTGTTAAGCTTCTCTCTCTCTACAGTCCACAAATTGTACATGTTGAATCAAGACTGTACTTGTTCAGCATCTGCTCCATATACATTCTAATCTGTTGATTTTAGGTCATTTTAACCATGATAAATGGAAAGAGCACCCCCAGAAATGGCTAAATATGAAATTTGGTGTTTCTCGTGTAAGAAGTATTTATTTTATGACACAATTCAAGCAAGTCTAAAATTGGCCTTTCAAATACCTTGTGACAAAGGGTTAAAAAGCAATTTTTTTTCAATTTTGAAGTGGAATAATCCAGAATATATCCATTCTATCACCCCCCAAAAAAAAAATTAGGCTTGTTACTGGTATAGTCATAATGTGATATTTTAAATTTGGGATGAATGTGGGTCTTATTTCCAGTTTTATGAAATGTCAAACCTCAGATTATGAGTTGTTTGCACGTCGTTGCAGAGGGTTTGATTTATAAAATTTGCATATTCAGACTGAATTTATTTAAGAAATATGCAGTGATACTATCTGTAATTTTATTATTAATTTCTTTGTTATGTACCTAACAAGCTAGTATAATTTTAACTGTTGTTCTTAATTGCTTTTTAAAATATAGGAGTCCAAATATGGTATTTTGTCCTAATTCATAATAGAGAAAAAAATGTCTAAGTCGAGCACATGTATAAAAATAAAAATAAATCTGCCAAAATTAAACGGTTTGAGATATTTTGATGAAATAAAAAACGCTAAGTTTCTTTAATCATGTAGAGTAAGAAGATGCAATCAGATAACACCTAGTATCTGTTTTTTTCATCTGATACCTAATCATAGTATGTCTTATATATATATATATATCTCTGATGCGATGAGAACAAAAGTATAAGCAGGATTGTTCATAACCATTTTCGATTCTCACCCGTCAAAGTGCAGTGGAAATGCACTGAAACCAAGTTGCATCTTTGTAGTGAGTAAAATGGTTTTGTCTATATGATAAAATTATAATAAATAAATAAATAATATATATATAGCCAAATTCAAAAAACAAGACAGTGGACTTTAGAAAACAAAATAAAAATTTTAACTCTTAAATACATTAATTATAACTATTTTAAAGCATTTTTCTTCTATAATTCTACTGATAAAATAAAACAAATTAACCAAAGTATACAAAAGTGCAATTATCTGTTAATTTGGGACTTAATTCATATATATATATATATATATATATATATATATATATATATAGAGAGAGAGAGAGAGAGAGACTGGCTTTCTTGGAAGCACATTTGGAACAAAAAAGGAGGGGTTGGATGAATAGAGTTATAAGTTTCATATAGAAAGAAAAAAAGCATCAATATGTATAGATAAAAGCTAATTAAACATTTAAGGTGAGTTTTTTTTTTTTTTTTTTTTTTTTTAAATGGTTTTTCTTCAGAAATCAATTATTATTAAAAAGATCAGACTATATATTTGGTAACAATTTTCACAAACTATATTACAATTGAATCAGATGTTCTATAAACAGAGGGAGATTCAGACAGTCACAATGTCAGAACAATGATAAAATGCTTGATAAAAATTGGATTCATCCTGATTCCAAAAATTCAAGCTCTAGTTTTATGTAAAGCAATACAAACTTTCAAATAAATGAGGTAGTTGAAATGGTTATGCAGACAAGAATTGTTTTAAAAATATGCCTTAATATGTGATTAATGTTATTGCTCATATAGATGGGAAAAGTAACAAGATGAAAAGAAGAGATGGATAGAAGAACAAATTGAAAAAAGGGAAGAAAAAAAATGCATATAGTAATATTGTATTGAACGACAGCCATGTTGTCCTGGATCTACTACACACGGTAGCGACATTTCCCCAGCTCCTCCAACCAGTAACTTACCGTGAGATCTGAGGCGAAGACAGGGGGAGAGCTCCCCAGAAGAAAGGTAGGTGGGTAGAAAGACGACTGGTCCTCAGGAGAGTTACTTACTGTAACATTTGGACTGTGTGTGAAAACGGGAGGAGAGGTCCCTGGAAGAAATGTAGATGTATAGAATGATGGCTGGCTCCCTGGTGTATTCCGCCTCATTGGACTTGGTGGGCTGAAAGCTACATATGAAGAGAAAGAGAGAAGAGAAGGAGAAAAGGATAGAGAAAAGACTAAAGTTGGATGAATAAATTAAAAACTAGCACTAGAGTAAGATATTAATTAAATATAACCTAATAAGTAAAAGCTACTCTATTAAAAATATTTTATAACTTATTAAATACTAATAAGAAAAAAAAACCCAAAAGTATTAGCCTATTTTATCAATAGGCTGCAGGACGTTGACTTTTCCTAAATTCTGTAAGACATGGAGAGTGATGAGTCTTGACCCTGCAACACCAACTCATGAAGTATTGACAGGGTGTTTGAATTTTTGAATTTAGATTTATCCTTCCTTCTCATAAACAGGTTGCCCTATCAAGGTTAAAGATCATAGTTTGTCCTACAATTTTATCCATAGCTGGAGTAAAATTGAATTGAATTATTTCCTTTCCTATGGACAGGAGGATGAAGTGAATATCTAGTAAGAAATTTGAACTTGGCCTGCCTATTTTTCAAACTTATAAAAGACACCAAATATATATATATATATATATATTATATATATTTTAAACATAGAATGTTTTATTAAACAGACTAGACAAGGAATGTTAAGCATTTTTCCTCATGTCAAATAAATCACTTGATGTCAGATGTAAAGAAACTTGTGTGTAATGTTTTGAGTAATTTCAACCCCAATTGACCATTTTCAAGGCAAAAAGGTTAAAGTTAAACAATTAGTGGTGAAGCAGAATTTGAAATGAACATAGGTTTACATGCTATGGTAGTGGAATAGATTGTATCATCACATGACTACACATAGAAGATATATATATATATATATATATATATATATATATATATATATATATATATATATATATATAATGTGTTTTAATTAACTCTTATCAGTAATTGCTTAGATATGTTATACAATTAGAAAAAAATCAAGAATTAAAATGCTTTTTTAAAATGTATTAGCACTGTAAACATTGACAAAAAAAACTTAAAACCATAAAAATATAAACAAATGAAGCCATTTTCATCTTTTTATAGTTTGAGTAATAAATCTATTTTTAATTTGGTAAAAAAATATCAATTCTAAATAAAATTAATAAAAACTTTTCATCACTATGAATAATTAATTTTAATGAGTCAGTTCAGTTTACAGGAAATGAATTGTGTTAAAATAAAGTGTTTGTTATTTCATAAGAGATAAAAACAATTGTTAACAAACATGTTAAATATATTCATTATTCTTTTTGACACAAATATGATATGAAAGTTTCCAGCATTTTTTATAAAACCTTTCATTCATTTAAATTCATAGCATCATTATTCAGTCATCAAAGGTCATTGTATAACTTTATGTCATCTTTTAGATAGTTTATCATAAAAGAAATGCTACAGATTCATTGAGGGATTTTTCAATATTTTGAACTTGCCGAAATAAATGAGCAATATTGTAATATTGCATGAAATAAATCAAACTAAGAGAGTTATGGAGAATATGTTGCATGTGAAAGAACTTTGTCATTCCACTCCCAGGAGCATTTACTCTATCACAATTACAACATGAAAATATGTCATTATGCATCAAAATCACCAGTTCTTCCATTCTTAAATTTTTTTTTTTTATTCTAAATCATCATTCAAATCAGCTAGTTTTCTATAACTGTTTGTCCAGTTTCTAGCAATTCATAAAGAATTCTCCTTGAATCCTCAACACACAAGAAAAATGACCTCCAATCAGTTAACTAGAGTGAGGAATGGCTTGTAAATTTTAATGCTTTGAAAAGAAATTGCTATCTTTTAAGCACCAGAGCACCTTTTTTACCTTCCATCAGCATGGACGATGCTAACATCCAGTACAGCAACTTTTTGCACCTTCCTGGGTTCACGTTTTCCACCGACATGAAGTGGAGTGATTATATTGAATCAATTGCTAGGTTTGCTGCTAAAAATGTTGGGTCACTGTGGCATGCTAGACAAATTTTCTTGTCAGAATTCATCTTACACATTTATAAATCTACCATTTGTCCATGCATTGAATATTGCTGCCATATCTGATCTGGTATTCCTGTTATATATATATCTCAAGAATCTCAACAAAATGAAAGCTCTATAACATTATTGGTCCTGACCAACACAACTTTAGTCACTTTCCTATCACCATGACATAACTTCCCTCTGTTTTTTCTATAAATATTTTCATGACAGTTGGTACCTTGACTGCATGAATTCAAGCATACTACTAGATTGGCAATTAGGTCTCATTATTTTACTGTTGAATTAGCTAGATGTAACTGTATGTTCTATTCTAATAATTTCTTTTCTCACCTGTGGAACTCTTCTAGTTTCTTGCTTTTCTGCCACCTACAAATTTAAATGCAATGGCCATTTTCTATCTTCTGGAATCCTGTTTCATTATTGTCTTTTCTCCTAAGTTTTCTCATTCTAATTCACTACTAGAACCCCCTTGTGTCTTAGTGGCAATATTGCCATGCTTGGGTGAAATGATTAAAAAAAAAATTTAGTTAAAAATTCCTTCTATTAGATAGAAATATTGAAAACTCTTTGATCCAACCAACATTTTGCTTTTATTTTAGACTTTTATAATAAATCCATTTTTGGCATTACTGGGGTTAACTGGTCTACTTGCTAAAAATAAGTAAAAATTTCTTTTGGAATAATTTTTGTAAATTAGCTATCATTAGACCTTCCTCTAATGTTTGTCAAAATCAAAAACTATTGATTTTTATTTTAGAAAGGGGGCTCTGTTCATAATAAAAATACACTCCCTGACTTTTTAAGGAGTTATCTATTTTTCATTTATAAATGTCAAGTTTGAAATTATTCACATTGATGTCCTTTTTCCCAATTTGGGTTTTCCACACTTTAAATTTTTTTTTTTTTTTTTAAATCACCCCATGCTAGCCACTAAAACACTGGGGGTTACAGGGTGTGGAAGAATTAGGAACAGAAACATTAATAATGAGCTGGAAAAGGACAGTAGATAGTGATTGACATAGTATTTAACTTTTTGCAGATTAAAGTTGACTGGAAAGCATGGAGCCAGAAGTGAGTTTCACTAATGAGAGGTGAGAGAAAAGAAACTGTCAGTATAGAATTTATGGTTACATTTAACCAGCTCAATTGTAAATTGATGAGATCTTGACACCAGTCTAGTACTGTGCTTAAATTCAAAAGGTTTAGGTACTCATCTGAACAATTAGCATAAAAGTATTTATGGAAAAGACACAGAAGATGTATGCCAAACCCTGTCAAAGGCTTTCAAGATGTCCAATGCTAGAGCTTGGGCTTCAACATTTTTATCTAGAGCATGATAGACTCTTTAAGCAATTATTGTCAGTACATCAGCAGTTGGCCTGAAGAAATGAAAGCCATATTGCTTGTCAGAAAAAAAGATGATGATTTGGGCCTCTAGGAGTTTCCCCAAAAGAGGTAGAAGGTTAATAAGCCAATAGTTGGAAGGGCCGAACTGTTCTTAAAAACTGGAACAATAGATGGTGATTTCCAGCAAGGAGGGAGGCATTTATTACACAGTTTAGAGAGAACAGGAGCCAGTTCAGAAGCATACTTCTTACTATTATAAGGATACCATCAGTTTCACATGCTTTATCAGGATCAAGGTTAGAGATGACAGCAGAAACCATAGAAGGGGTTATATGTATATCACTCAGAGATTCAGTTATAAGTAGAGATACTTCAGATGAGTCAAAAGTAAAGTTTAAGGAGAATTTATGGGCAAAGCATTCAGTTTTATCAACAAAGGATGTTAACACCTCAAATTCATCGAAGAGGGGAGGAATAGACCTTATACTTATTTAATACCCACAGGAACCAAAGTTGTTAGATGCTAAGCAGTGCCTCATTCTCTCAGCAAACAGGGACTTAGCTCCTTCAAGGACTAGTTTATATTTACTACAAGCAGCTGTTGCTGATATCGCTGAAAATAGTTATTCCTGTGTGATATAGCAGCTGAGCATGCTCGTGTGAACCATGGAGATGATTGAGGTTTCACTTGCTATTTTTTGAAAGAGGATGAAAGCATCCAAGAATAAACCTCAGTGGCGCAATTCTCAACTGGGAGGTTAAGATGTCAGTCCAAGAGACAGTCACAAAGAAAATCACAGAGTGAGTCCCAATCAGCATGCTGATCATGGAAAGAGGTCTTATGAATATTTAACAGATGATTGTAATGAAATATCAATAGATACCACAGAGTGGTCCAAGTTACCAAGAGGGCAATGTTGCAAAGATCAGCAAAAGTGAGGAGAGGAGGTAAGAAATAAATCAAGCAGAGAAGCCTGTTGCTCAGTTTTGCTAGGGAAACAAGTTGGGAAATCCACGATTTCAGTAAGGAACTAGGCAATGGAAAGATTTAAATTTTTGAATACCAGCAACATCAATATCTTTAGAATGTTTAAGTCATGTGTTATGGTGAGCATTAAAGTCTCTGAAGACACAAAAGTTTGCAGCTGAATGGAGAGAAAATGCCTTTTCAATACTGCCAGCAATTATGTGTAATATACTTCAGTCCTGGGAAGTGAGGGAGTAAAAAAATGAAAAAGAGATAGCTAACAGAGTTTAGTAACAAAAGACAGAAGCACAAGGAAGATTATTCCAGATGTAAATACCAAGGCCATGCTTGTGAATGCTAGAATCTTTTTGGTCAAGGGAACAATAGACTGGAACCAAGAATTCATTGGTAGCAATGAATGAATAATATACTTTTTTTTTTGATGCACTTGCACAAACAGAAGGATAATAATTATTTGTCTTAAATGACAAACAAGCAGGCATACACATTTTTAGGTTATTAAATTATTTAAATGACTTCCTGTTTGGATGAATTAATGCAATATGTGATAAGCCATTATCCACAGCAGTGACTTTAATAATATTCTGGCCCATATTACTGAACAATAACCTATACCATAAATTTCCTAAGTTTAAAAGAATTTTGTTAAACAATTTTTTATTTTTAATAATCTTTTAATTTTAATTTTGCTGTAAAAACAATTAGTTGTTTTAAATAAATCTCTAAAAAATGTAATTAAAAAATCTATTTTGCTAATCTGACTTTACTCTGTTGAGAATGAGAAAAAAGACAAATTTTTAAATATTCATTTCTGTTAATTTCATGTGAAACAAGTTGTCCTAGCTTACAAACAGATTAGAAATTGGAAAACTTTGCATCAACACATCCAAAATGATAATGTATTTTTGTAGGAAATAAAGTAAAAGCATTTCAATTAGCTATTTAAAGGCTTCTTAAATAAAATACCAAATAACTGACATTGCACAATGAAAATAGTTGAAGATACAACTTTACTAAGTAAAAGAAATAATATATAAGATAGTGAGAGTCCTTGTTTCTTTATACCATAAACAGATAAAGAAAATTAAATTACTAACAATAAGTAAGAAGGACTAATTTCAAAGGCAAATATTCAATATATGAAAACAAGTATTGAAATCTATACAAATTCACTGTAAACAGTTTATGACAACTGCAATCAAATCAACATATTAAGTTAGCTACTTTAAAAAGATATAAAGAGAATCACTGAATATAGATAAGGATTTTTTTTTGTGGTTGAAAAAGATGAAAAACGTATTACAATTTTTTCTGTTTAAAAAATAATATAGAATTTGTGCATCAAAATAAACAATCATGCATATATATTAGCTTCTTACCAGGAGACAGTGGTCGGGATGTATTTGGTGAGGCATATGGTATTGGACTGGACACTGTTCGTGGACGGACTGTATGGCTACTTGACATATCATATTGCTTTGTCATTTCATTAAAATGTCTATGAAAAAAAATAATAAAAATAAATTGGAAACACATTACATAAATTTGTAAAATCTTTTAGTGGAACAAACTTAAAATTAGCAGATGCATAATTGAAATTTGATATCTTTCTTAGTACTTTCTTAAAAGAATGTTTGTTGTCTAGCATTCATAGAAAAGCATTTTGAAAGCAAAAGGATTTTGTTTTTGCACTTAATCTCATTAAGTATATTTGCCAGATATTTATTTTTGCTGATTTTTTAAATATATCTCCTGTTTTATAATTTTTGATTAGTGTCAAATGAAAGAAAAAGAAAGGGAGGCTTTTAATAAGATTTTCGAAATCTTTTCAAATTAAAGAAATACACTCAGTATTTTAATTTTTTGAAATATTCCCAAACATGACAAAACATTAAGTTTCTTGATCTGAGTAAGAGGTTGTATGCAGCTGTCAGTTTAGACAGTGCTGAGTGAGTTTGGTACCATTCATGACATCCATATGAAAGTCTCGATCTGATGAGTCTATTTATGAACATGACAAGTTTTCAGGTTAATGTTTTGTTTTTGCAGCAATTTGCAGTGTTGAGTGAAACTACTTCTAGTGCAGCATATTCTAGGTTCTTATCTCCTGGCTAAATTTATTATAACTGATCTATATCTATACACCAAGGTATTTGAAGTGTATGGTATTTACTAAAATCACATCCTGAATTTTTAGGATGGATTCAGGGTACATGTCAACACTGTTTTCATTCTAATTCATAGACTCTGTTTTGCAAAGATTTATCTTGTCCTATTTCTTGAAACACTTAGTAGAGAATGCTGATTTTTTTGCTCAAGATTATTCTTATCCCAACTATGAATACCTATACCATTAGCATAATCTCATCAGTATATTGTCCATGGGAGAGAAAGTAGGATCACTGTCTTTTATTAGTAGATTAGTTTGTGTCATAGTATAGAATGCTTAAATGATCAGTGCCCATCTCTTCACACCTGAGCTTGTAAAGGTGAAGAGTAAAGTCTAGGAAAAGATTAAATGAACTGTGGCTCCCATTTTTCCTTCTTGTACTCCTAATGAAGTTTGAAATGTTTCTGTATTCTGGCCAGACATGTATGATTTTGCGAATGATATCGTTTCTATTAGATTGATGCAGTTAGTAGAGTCAGAGCTTAGAAGACTATTTCTAATGAATGAGAAAAGGAAGTCTCTACTGATATGGTCATATGTTGCTGTGAGGTCGACATAGCAGAGATACTGTTTTCTATTGGAGAAATATGCAATCTCAGAGTTTTTTTTTTAAGCATTTCACCCCAACCAAGGCTGGAAGCCACTAGCACGCAAGGGGTTACATAGGATTTGGAGCGAGAGCAGATAGGAGTGATAGGGGAAAGGATGAAGAGAAAGGATAGGGGAAAGGATGAAGAGAAAGGATAGTGGATAGATCAAGGCAACTGGAGATGTCTATTGACATTACATTTGAATAGTTGGAGATTATAGCTATCAGGGAAACAGGAAAAGGGAAGGGAGTTCCACAGGTGAGATGTGCAAGATAGGAAGCTATTGGAGTAGAAGAGATGGCTACATTTAACAGTTTCAACAGTGAAAGGGTGAGAGTGGGATGCCAGTCTCGTAGGGTGCTTGAATTCATGGAGTCTGGGAACCAGAGAAAGCAGCTCATCAGAGCAATTACCATGAAAGTATTTGTAAAAAAGACAGAGTCGACGGCACATCTGTGAGAGAGAGCAACTGCAGACGAGATGCCAGATCAGGGCCAATTGCATTGCATATCCGTCTCTGGATTTTATCAAGAACCCCGAGGCAAACAGAAGGGGCTCCAGACCATATATGGTAACAATACTCCATGCAAGGGCGAATGGTTGATTTGTAGATTTGAAGGATCGATTACAGGGGGAAAAAATTTCCTGGCACGGCACAGGGAGCCAACTTTCCTTGCAGTGGACGAAGCAATTGACTCAATGTATTTGTTCCATCTTAGGTCAGCAGACAATGTGAGACTGAGCAGCTGCAGATAGGTGCTCTCGAGAAGCTGAGCATCAGACATTCTAATGGGGGGCAGGGAAGGATCTCGGTGGTCATTAATAGAGAGCAGTTTTGTTTTTGAGGCATTAAAGTTAACCAGCCAGTTCCTGCCACAGTTCACAACTGATTGGAGGTCCTTTTTGAGACGAACGGCCAGGTTAGTTTTGTCAGCGACACTAGATTTGTTTTTGAGGCAGGAGTAAATTGTAGTGTCGTCCGCGTAGATGCCTACTTGGGAATCTATGACATCAGGAAGATCGTTGATGAAGATGAGGAACAGAATAGGGCCTAGGATGGAGCCTTGGGGAACACCTGCATTCGTGGGATAGGAGCTGGAGGAGAATCCGTTGAGAACGACCTTCAACTCGCAGTTTGACAGGAATAGTTGTTTAATGACATGTCATCATGACACCTATTACCTGAATGAAACCAAACTGAGTCGGAAAAAGTTCACTTTGGTTAATACAATGTTCATTAATACTTTCACCATAATGGATCCACTTGAAGTGTCTCTGGAAGGGTTTTCAGGGTTACCTTTTTTGTTTTCATAGTGCAATAATTAATTTATTAATTCACAATAAACCACACTTTTTGGGACTTGTTTCTAATTTCAGACTTTTGTTATGATATTGAGAAACTTATTGAATTTAGGGATAAGCTAGGGGTAAGCTACTTTCAAAAATTGTTAAGTGATTCCTTAGTTTTCTAATAGCTTAACTTCTTTAGTAGGTTCATTACTGTTTATGTTTGGACACAGAATTTGTAATAATTGGATGTATATTAGTATATGTTCAATTTCTGCAGAAATCTTTAATGCTGTCAGGGTTGAAATATGACTCAAAGTATTTTTATTACCAGAATATTTTTTTCTATGTTGTATGATGATATTGTGATTTTTCACTTTTCTCTACATTTTAACAAATTCTCTATAATGTTTGGCTTCATTAATTTCATTTTCAATTTTTCAGAGATATTGGTTTCTTAGAGTGTTAACTATTTTTTCAAACTAGTTTATTACAGAATTCTCATCTTATGTTATATCTTTAGTGTTTTTCATGCTTTATGGGAGTGGAAGAGAGCTATTTTCTTGGCTGGTGTTGTCAGCTTTGTAACAATACAGGTTATAACAACTACACCTTCTTTTGAAATCATATCTGTTCATGTATAAGTAAGGTTTGGAAAAAGGCATTTTATCCAAAACAGAAATAAAAAAATGACTTCAAATTTCCTTAAATCTTGAAAAATATTTAGATGTACTTCACTAACTAAAATGTTTTTTCTACCAGACTAAAAGTGAACAGTTTATCAACAACCATCATATTAGATATGTCCATAAACACTAATGAACTACTGTAGTATTCAAATATTACACAATAAAAGTATGCTTTATTCATTTTCATACGATGGACATTCTGAGCAGTGAAAACCTTATGAAAATCATCAAATTTACAATGTTATTTTAATTTTAACTTGATATTTAATCTATGAATTTTATTTATAGAAGGAATTGGCTGAATTATACAACAGAATCATAATGACTCATTTCAGATATTATTTAATGATACTTGTTACTAACAATATTTTCTTCCGAGAGCATAAAAATGATTTAAATAATGTAAATTTGCATGAATCTTTTTCTTTTAAATGCACCAAAATAAAATAGAAGTGTTTTAGGAAAATTATTCTGATAAAAAACAGTGATCTTGAAAATTGTTTAAGTTCTATAAGTTTATTATAATTAATTTTTGACTAAGTTTTCTTTTATTTTTCATAAAAGGAAGACTGCAAAAATGAATGTCAATAATTTGTTTAGGAAATTTTATTTTTGTTTTGTGTAAATTAACTCATTTGCAATAGGCAAAAGCATTTATCCAAAGGAATAAGAAATTCCTTTGGATAAATGCTTTTCAATGATTTAAATACTTGATAACAATTCTTTGGAATTCAAAAAGACATTAAAATATTTTTAAAATATTTGTACCATATTAGTGAATATCTGTCTTTACCTATTTCCCAAAAAAAAACTGCTATGAAAACCGAATGATAAAAAGTCAATGTTATTTTTCTTTTTCTGCCACTGTATTTTGAATTATCAATTGAATTTTTGCTAATTTTCTCTTTCCTCAATTTTTTCAACTAAAAAAACAAAAAACAAATTAATATATCATAATCAAATTTGAAACTGAAAACTGAATTTCCTGATCACTGTAAAATTAAATACCCACAATTACATTAGAATGATTATAATTTTTTAGGTTGTATATCTGATTATATTTGACTTTTGTTTTTGTTTTTTTGTTTTTTTTTTACAGTAACTCTAATGTATCAAATAATTGATTAACTTCATTTATAGCACTTATTTTAATGATTTTAATGAAAGGATGAATTTCATTATGTAGATTTGGAACTAGATTCCTGGAGTTACAATCAATGATAGGATTTTTTCGGAATAATCAGTTTAGAATCTGTGTTCTAAAATAGTACTTGCACTCTAGGGGAGAAGTATATATAAAAATAAGATCACTCTCTATTTATAAAAGGCAGGATGTGTGTGTAACGAATGCACGGCTGCAATTTTCGATGGATTTGCACCAAAATTTACATGCACATGCTCCAAGTTAGCGGGAAGGCCAAGACCGACTTTGCATTTCCCACCTCCCATCGGTAGTGGAAATAATCGATTTTTTCATGCTTCTACAGCAGTTTTCATGTAGTTTGCAGCCATTTTCTACTGGCCAGAGTGAAAGCCTATAGCTGGCTGCCACAAATAGGCAGGAAGATTCTATCGGTCAGCGTGAGAGCCAACAGCTGACTGACACGAATGTTAACTAGCATGCTAGCATGCAAAAAAAAAAAAAAAAATCGTTAGCTGCATTTGTCACAAGTGGGAAAAATTTAAATCTGCATGGCACTTTACTCAAATTGGCTGATTCGCTTGCTTAAACTCAACGTTGATTCCGATTCCGCAGAACTGGGTTGGGTGTGAAAAGTATTTGTTGTTAACATTCTTTTTTCATTCGGTTTTTCCAGTTACGAGTCCTTTTTTAAAGCTGATCGTTTTGTGTTCATTTTGTTTAGTTCTTTTTTCGTAACAGATTTAATGTTTAGTATAGAGTTTAGAAAAAATTCGCAGTGTGAGATAGGCAAGAAGTAAGGCATGTAGCAACATCAGCACGGCAAAGGGCACTCCTTTAAAGGCAAGGAAGGGCAAAAATATTTTAAGTCAAGTCATAGCGATTGCTGTATGTCGTACGATTTTTGAGTCAAGCACGGGCACTGCAGGGCCATGCTGCTAGAAATTTATTTATTTTATTACATATATATATATATATATAAAACCGCAAAAGTTTCCTTTGAAGTATTCACAACATAAAAACTACATTAAGTTGGCTCAAAAAGTTCATTTTTTTTTCATTATATGGCTTTATGAGCATTTGTATTTAATTTAATTGTAACACATTTGAAATAACTTGCCAAAATTGGTGCATTTTTGTTTAGATTCTAACAATGAAGATAGGCAATATTTTTAGCATATTCCTTTTTTTTCAGTTTATGGAAAAGTTATTGTGAATGAACTTTTCAAAAGTGGTTGTAAAGTTCTTAAATGCTGCTCCATGCAGATTAATTGATGTTGATAGTGATTAAATGATGTCATTACTGGAGAATAATCAATGTTATAAAATGTAGGAGATAATCAGAACATTCAAATCAAGCACTGAAAATTATCTGCACCAGCTTGTTTAAGGTAGTCACTTTGATATATGGTTTCCACATAAGTAGAATTTTATTTCCATATGCAATTTATTACTTAAAAATAATGCATTCATCTTTTTTTTTTAACATTGTAATAGGTGATGAAAAATGGACATTGTACAACAATAGGGAAAGCAAAATGAAGCAACATTAATCTTAATGCTGTATCTATGGTGGAATTGAAAGAAGCAAATGATTTGAACAAATAAAGCCCCAAATATATATTTCCTCAGATGGGTGAAATGTAACTGGTCATTTAAGAATACAATAAAATGCAGTACATTTACCTTTCATCATCCATTTCAAGACTGGATTCACTTTCAGAAAGATGCCTACAAAGACTTTCTCTTCGTTCCATCTCCATCTGAAGCTTGCGCTGCAATCGAAGATTTTCTTCCCTGATTTGTCTCTCTTCCTGTGCATATTGAGCCATTTTTTCTTCATCTGAAAATTACACACACAAAAATATATATATTACTAATTAATCAATGACAAACTCAATACATCTTAAAGCACTAAACTTTCTTACAAAGCGTTTCTCTATTTTTGAAAACACTAATAAATTAAAATGAAATTCTTTTATATAGCTTGAAAGAAATCACAAGAATTAACATAGCAATTAAAATAAAAATGTAGGAAGTAGTATAATAATCATTGAATATATTTAAAAGGTTGGTAACTATATACATCATCATCATCCCTTGACTTTTGTAATCATAGGGGGGGATACGAATGCAGAAGCCACACTAAATCTCCTCCACAACAGTCTATCAACAACAGCCATCAGCAATTCTGGTATAGTCATACTCGTCCATTGTTTGACATTGACCAACCAGTTTTTGTGTCAATGTTTTCTCCTACATCCATCTTCAATGGGGCCTTGCATGATGGTCTTGCACATGCTGTCATGCCTTGTAACATGTCCAAACAACACCATTTTTCTCCATTTGACAGTGACAAGAAGAGGTTCCTGGTGGCCCACAAAACTTTCAACCCTTTCCGCACAAACTCATTGGTTTTATGTTTCCAATAGATGCCAAGGAGTTTTTCATGCATTTTTTCTCAAATGCTTAGATCCTTCTGTTTCTACCAACAGTGCCCATGTTTCACATTCATATAGGATAATAGAGACTACCAGTAATTTGTACAGTCTGTACTTCATTTGAAAGCAGATTTTGCTCCTCCATATTCTTGCCAATTTAGCCATTGCTACAACAATCCATGTGCGGATATTTGAGTTGCAGACAAGAATTCTTGTTCATGGTAATGTTACCCAGCTGTTTAAAAGGCTTGTTTTTGTCCTATAGGAAAATCCAAGATGGCGCTTGAACTAAATATTCAGCGAAAAAATCCCATTCATCAATAACATTTTAAACCCCTTATAAAATGTAAAGTTCTCAAAGCAAACCTGTGCCAAACTGTTTTCCTAAATACTTGATGACTTGGCTGTCTGAAAATGACAACATCAAGATGAAATAATGGAAACTGACCATGGAAAACACTTCTAACTTCTAGATGTTTTCGGGCCATGTTATAGGATCCAGACAGCTATTATTTGCATGTGGAATTATTCACTGGTAATTAATCTTCAATTTGGCTGTGAAAAATGTTACTTGGAGGTTAGCATTAAAAAATTATGACCAATTTCCTGAGAAAAATCACTTTTTTTATGAAAAAAATCTTTTTTCACTTCAAAACAATTGTTTTTCAAACTGCAATCCTTTTTCTTTAAGTTGGTGTGAACATCATTGAATAAAACGAACTGCTACATGACCCGACAATAGGAAATATGAAAGACATGTGGCGAAAATGTTGTTGTCATCACCTGGGTCACGTTTTTACCAATATTTCATCTATATTTTTTTTTTCACTCTTTGCACTTATCTTGTCAGTGATGGAATTTACAAGTTGACAATGACAGCTTGTTCTAACGTTTATCGCTGACTGGCCTTTGACCCAGACATGTTTTAGTTTAATTTTCCTTATCGCTGCTATTTTTTTTTTTTTTTTTAAATAACTCCCGGTTTCCGCTGGTCAGGAATTGACAATAAATCTTTCGTCTTTTACTAAAGATTTCCGTGGCCAGGTGTCAACTTTTTTAACACTCAGTGGCTATATAATTGAAAATTTCCAATGGACTGTCACATTTTGACCCCCTAGGAATGTTGTTTTCCTTCAAACTCTCAATTTTATGCCTGAAATAGTTTGATTATGATTTAGGTTTTCTGATTTTAAAAAAAAAAAAAGGTTAATTTCCCGTTATTGGGGAAATTGTTTGTTTAGGAAAAAAAAAAGCAAATTTTCAATTTTTTTCACATTTTACCCCCTGAAAAAAAAATCTTTGAGTTATTTACACCAGCCAATTTTACTTTTAAATGAAAGAACATATTGTTTGCTTTCAAAAATACCTAGTTTCATAGGGTGCAGATCAAAAGTTTCCTTGATATTTGTTCAGATGATGATAAAACAGTCATTTTTCAATATTTTACCCTATAAAAGTATGAAAATCCATTTTTTCAGAGAAAATAAGCTGACAAAATGACTTGCCATTTTTGTGATAATTTTTACTTGAGATAGAAAATTTTTACCATAGCAAACCTGAATTAACTTTAAGTTTAGAGCGGCTATAGGAAACCTCAAACAGCTGTGGTTGACACAGGTGTTACTGTTTATATCATAAGTTTGGATTTCTCTATATACAAAGCTTTATTAAAGTAATTAGGAAATCTTTCAGTTTATGAGGAGATGAAAATAGGGTCAAAGCTGACAAACTAATTCTGATGTCTGTTCTAAAATACAAATTCTGTTGCTAAGAGAAGTTAAAATATTTAATCCAATAACCATGACTTATTTTCTACTGATGTTAGCCTGACTCAAACTGGCATTGTTAGTCAGTTATGATGGTTATACTGAATACAATATCAATAGAATAGACAATAAATTTAAATAATTTTTTAGATTTTTATACATTAGTCCAGATTTCTAATTTTATTCAAACTGACTAAAATAATCATTGTGTGTGTGTATCATACACATAGAAAAGAAAGAAAACTATTTATTTACTGCACAGAGAAGAATTTATTTCTCAGCATATTTCCAGGGGAATTGAATAATCATGTGAGTTAAATCTAAAAGAAATACATTAACAGTAATGGAAACATTCAAACAAATGGAAAAAGTTAGCATATTGGGTAGATCAATAATCACCAAACACTTAAAAGGAATAAGTAAAAATTGCTTTCAAGCCTTAGGGTAGAGTCAAATTAGCATGAAATCAATGTTCAGAAGGAGTTACTTGATAACGACAATTAAAAAGCAGAGATTAACTACATACGTTCTGCTTGGGCAGCTTGAAGTTGCTGTTTCAGTCGGGCTACCTCAGCCCGAAGGTGTTCTATGTGCTGGGCAAGGTTATGTGCTGTATCACCATTGTTCATATCACGTGGAGAAGGTGGAGATGACACAGGTTGATCAAGTTTCTCTTGTAACATCCTAAAATGGAAATTAATCCAAATTAGATAGCCTCTTTTCACAGTGGATGAACTCAAAAATTGATTTTAAAGGTTTTTAAGTGGGGAGAGTATTTAAAAAAAAATATAAAAGTTATTTTTAGTTTAAAGAATAAGTGAGACATTTTAAAAAATAAAATTAACTAGACCTCTGTCAGAATGAAAGAATTTAATAAATACTAAATCAAATAGACTGATCCACTGCCCAGTCAATAGAGAAACAAAATAATTAGTAAGTTAATTGCTAATGTAAAGCAAACAAATATTCTTAGAATCTTATTCAAACTAATGTTAATTTGAACTGTAAAATTCAAAGCAACATCTGAAATCATTTCATGTGATGTGTTACTATACATACAGGTGGTTTCCCTTTGTCAGCCAAATGCATTTTACCTAAAAAATAAAATCATAAAAAAATGCAGTTTGATTCTTTAAGCAGTCTTCACCTAAAAATTATTTCAGATGAGGTGTAAAGTAGCTAAATAATCTAAAAGTTACAGTTCAAATACTTTGAACTTCTTATACATTTTAATTTGTATGTTAAAGGGCATTTCCCAACATCATATTTGCTTTAAAAGTACATTAAACAAAGATTTTTATAAAACAGGCCTGACAAAGTTAAAAGCAATTATAGTCATCAAATTAGATATTTGATATATGAGAGTAAGAAAAAGAAAACAAAAATTGATAATGCTTCAACCTTTTCTCTGCTTCTAATTTATCCATTCGTTTCCACAGCCTATTCACCAGTGATTCTTGTTCTTGTTCAAGGGCATTTTCCAATTCAACTTTCTCTCTTCGCAACTGAAAGAAAAAAATAAAAGTAAATAAAAAGTAACGGTAATGATATGTGCAATGTCAAGAAGTTTTTGCCTTGACCCACTTCTCAAAATCTGACTAAATAAACAACATTGTATAACTTGGGATTCTATGTAAGATTTAAAAAATAATAACTTTACTAAGTAAAAAATATGTGATCAGTCAATACTAATTGCATTAACTTATTTTACTGATGATTTTATTTTCTTTTGATGGTTTAAGTAAACTAAAACAGAGCTTAATGTTTTTAATTTAACAAGAACAAAAAAGTGTACAGCTTATATAATGTGAAGACTGATTAAAAAAAAAGTGAATATTGTTCTATTTTGTCTGTAAGCTATATTCTCTTAACATGATATAAATTAAAAAAAACAATTATTTCTTTTATTTTTTTTTTAAAAGAAAGCCAAACTTTTAGCAATTAAATATTTTTTCAGAGCAAAAATACAACCAAAGCCAAATATACTTACCTTTTATGGGATAAGAATAAACTCAAATTTAATAGATTAAGAACAAGAATATGCTTAAGCAAAATTCTTTTTTAATTCATGTGTTTACATATCAACAAAGATTATAAACAGTGTTTCAACAGTAAACAATAAGCCACCTCCATAAGCAAATAAAACAAAAAGAATTTTAATAACAAGCAAAAATTAATAAAACATTATTTTCACTAAATTAAAAGTAAGAAAATAAACAATGAGCATTTTATAAAGATAGATTAAATTAATTCCTTATAATGTACTTTCTATTCTTATACATCAGTGATGTTTGCTGGGGTCATATCCTTACAGTTGACCAAACTATGATTTATCAAAACCTAGCTTGTGTCCAGGTAATGCCACCTATCTTGTTCAGTCTCTTGCACATCATTTCTTGACCAGTAACATCTTTGTTTCTCCCCTGTGCCTTTTCATAGTGAGACATTGTGCTAATTTTGAGGCCAACTCTTTTGAAAGACACTGCACCTACTGACTGCCATAACAATGATTTAGCAATGTCCAAAGCATCTATTATCTTCCAATTCTGTTTTGTCTTGAATGCAATACAAGCCTAAGAAACTTTTGAGTTGCAAGACTTGGTATAGTAGTACCTCCATAGTTAAGGTCATGTAAGCATTCTGAAAGCAAAGGAAATGTTTGTCGCAGATTAATTCCACAACACAGAGAACAAATCACTGTAAGTTCAGACTCGAATATTGGGGGCAGAAAGAAATGCCGAAAACTCGATTCGCAGGTACTATCTCACAAATCCCAATGCATGTAACCAGTCAGAAAAATAACTCACTCGCCGACGAACGTGGTAGCCAAAATACATCAGTTCTTCCTCCCAATTTGAGAACACCAACTGCTTTTATTGGCTGAGCAGTTTTTTCATTTATCAACAACTGGGAGAGGACGTCAAATATTTTTGCATAACAAAATACTTTTATAGAGACTCCTGCGACGGACTTGTTTTTAATCTAAATATTCCGTCTTCAGCATGTCATGCAGAATACATGCCCATTTTTTTTGGTAAGTAATTTTCTTTTCTGTCGTAGGATACACGTGACGTGCTGTCGTTTGGTTTGACGGGGTAAGTCGCCATTTTCTTTGCTATAGGTCAATTGAGTTTTGTTGACCTAGTTGTTTTGTTGTCCCAGCCACTTCCACAGTAACCTCAATGGTGGAGACTGGGACTTGAAATCACTGAAATAGTTTCAAATGATGTTTCTGTAACTGCCTGAGATGTGATATTGATTCAGTGTCTCTTCAACCAAATTGTGAAACACTAATCCAATGACATTTGCAAAATCCAACAACACCACCAATGGGTTCTTTTGTGCTGCCAGTTTAATTTAATCAAGAATTTAACAAGGAACGAATAACTGTTGGTGAATATACATATCTTTATAAAAGCTAGTTGCATGATAATTTCCAGTTAGTTATTTTTTGTGCTTCTTACATTTACATTTTAAAGTAGATTTGGTTTATAGATCCCAGTATTTGGATTTTTGCACTGGGTACTTAACTACTTCTGATCTCTTAACATAAACTTCTCCAATATCATTAACATTGGAGAGCTTCACAGGATATTAAATTGACTGTTTCCCTGAGCTGCAGCTACATATACATGCTATTTTAACTCAATCAACTAGAACTTACATTATCCATTTTTTGCCAGAAGACACTTAGAATGTTAATTTCCTATGTAGATAAACATCTTAAGCAGATGTTTGCCTTTGTCACAGAATCAAATTAATTTTTTTTTTTATAAGCTTTAATTTCTTTGTCTTCAGATCTCATGGTCACTAGTTTCATTTACCAACAACAGAAAAGAATGTTAAAATCTTTTACTAACAATGAAGATTCACAATGTAATGAGTTCATGATTCAGATAACCTGACAAGCAACTTTTGAGTTAGATAAGTTTCAAGATAGAAGTAGTAATTTAATGTTTAGCACCTGCTACAAAAATCCTTATTTGCATTTTCATCACAACAGTACACTTTTCCAGTTTTGTTTGCTCCATTTCTAAAAAATTCAATAAAGCATTTTCCTTTAGACTGCCTAGAGCAGGCATGTCAAACCCAGAGCATATGGAGGGCTGTATCGGCTATATCTGCAGGCTTGAGGGCTGCACCTGCTTAGTCTTACATTAATCACAGCTAGTGGTACCTAAACTTTAAATACAAAATACTTACAATACAAAGTAGTACAATTTATTCATTTTTATTTTATCCTGATGATTGACATCGCTTTAGGCAAGCTATTCTTGATATATTAGGTTGGAATGTCTGTGTAGATCTCACTTTGATCAAAGATGACAAATGTTCATCAGTTAATCTGGTTCGGTGAGACATTTTTGTGATTTTCATAAACAAAAATAACTGCTCAGACGTATGTAGAACCAAACATCACCATAATCTTTGTGGCAAACTTTCTGAAGTTCTTAAATGTCTGAGGAAGGTATGAAAAAAATATGGGTACCCCTACTTCAAGGTAGTTTCCCTTGAGTGTTGAGTCAGTCTGCATTTCCTGTAGTTCCATCTGTAGACTTTCCTTTGCCTGAGCAACATCAGTATTGAATGGTGCTGAGAATAATGCAAACTGATCTTTACAAGATGAAAAATTACAAAATCTTTGCTGAAATTCCTTTGACAGCAATTCCAGGTAATTATCATACTTAGCAAAGATAAATACAGACTCAGTATTGGCATTTTTTTCAACCCCTTTGCAAATAGGAAAATGAATTAAGTTTTCATGTGACAACTGGGACTTCAATAAAGCTAATTTTGCAATGAAACACTTGATATCATCATATAACTGAGTTATGAGCTTATATTTACCTTGTAATTTCAAATTAAGATCATTTAATTGGGCAGTAACATTCAATGAAAAAGCTAGATCTTGGAGCCAGCTTTCATTTTTCAATTCATCTGTGCTTTGATCCTTCATCTCGAAAAACACAATTTCATGTTGCAATAAAAAAAAACCCCAACTTTTCAGTACCTTGTGACATGAAAGCTAGAATGCCCCATTCTTTGTAGAATAGGGCATTTGTGAACTGATTATTCACATCTTCCAATAACTGGATAAATTGACAGTGATGCAGAGCACGACCTCTGATGGAGTTCACTGTTTTTGTGACAAAACTCAACACATGATCTAATTTTAAAATCTTAGAACATAAGTTCTGTTGATGAATTATACAGTGAAAATACTTGAATGTTGAATCTGGATATATGTTTTCTATTTTTGTACCTAACTTGGCAGCACCATCTGTAGATAAACACACAAGTTTACTCAAATCAAGGCCATACTCATGAAGAAGCTGTTCAACTTTCTCAAAAATGTCCTGGCTTGTAATATCATGCATTGGTTCCAGTTCAATTAGTTCTTCATAAATTTGAAATTAATTGTCACAAGCCCTGTTGAAAACTGTGAGCTGTACTATTCCAGCTATGTCAACAGTCTCATCCAGAGTAATAGAAAAATGTTCAAAACTTGATGATAAATTCTTCAACTGTCGAATCAAATCACCTGCCATTTCATCAATCAAGACAAGACATTGCTTTATGAAATCTCCTTTACTGTAAGATTTTCTGCTGATGCCAATCATTTTTCAGAGTTCAATGCTTGCAGTAACAAAACTAATGTTGCCTTTCTGAATTTTTGTAACGCAACTCTGTTGCTGTGTTAACTTAACCTTGAATTCTTTCACTTTTGAAACTCTCATAACATCAATGTTTCATAATGTCTTTTCACATTATATTCTTTTGGCATCACAATGCAGTGGTTGCAAATCAAACAGTTTATCTTTTCATTAACACTGGTACAAAAGTACTGTAATTTCCACTTTTCTTGAAACGCGTTCTTTTTCAGATAATTTTCTCTTTTTACGAGATGGAGTAGAATTCGACATTTTTAAGCTAAAATATTACAAAATTACAAACGTTTTCACTTTACATTCGTTCTTATTTAATTGTCAATGATGATCACATGATTAACCAGAAGTTAAAAATAGTCGCTGACATTCAAAAGCAAAAACCATTGAGATAGAATAAACAATCTAATCATACTAATTGAAAAAAAAAATCTCACTGTTTTTAATAATTTGCATTACCAACATAGACAAAATTCTCGATATACCATGGCTACAGAAACCTTTGTCAAGGTTGCCAAGATGCATATAAAAGGCTGCATGTGGCCTGCCAGTTTGAAACACCTGACCTAGAGTAATTTTCTAGTGATTAGAATGGTGTATATGTTCTTTTTAAAGATATTTTTATGCAGTGTAACAACTTTCTCATTCAAAATTAATGCTACACACAATCTTTATTCTACTTCTTGAAGATGAGAATATTAACATTTATTATAGAAGTCTTTTTTTTTTATACTATATATTAGGTGATTTTTGGATAGTCTCTTTTTTTTTAAAGTCTTCCATATATTAAAATATGATTCATAGAGATCTTTTTATTAAATGAAAAATATTGTTTGCTG